GCTTTCGCTAGTGACTAATTATAGATGTGAATATAAATGAAAAAAAATTAATTAATTAATAATAATAATAATAGTTATATATATATTTATTTTTTTTTTTTCCTTTAAATGAAAACCCAGTTGCAGTTTGCATTGTGTATAGATAGATGCATTTAACATTCCAAAGAGATGTATGGACATACACTACACACTTAATTCCTTTGACACAAAGTCAATTAAAGCACATGTAAATTGGATTTTTTTTCCATGACTAAGTATTTCTCTATATGCTGGTATTCCAGTGGATTTACTCTATGATGAATGTGTGTTTCAGTGGAAGAAACTCTGGTAAGGCTGGTGAACGGCTCTGGGCCTCACGAGGGTCGAGTGGAGGTGTTCCATGAGCTTCGATGGGGGACAGTGTGTGATGATGTTTGGGATATAAAAGATGGAGACATTGTGTGCAGGATGCTGGGCTACCGTGACGCCAGAGAAATCCACAAAACAGGCCGGTTTGGACAAGGTCAGAGTGACTTCAAGGCAGCTACAGACGTGCTTGCAAAGAGTTACAAAGCCACCAAGAGTGACTGCATTTAGTGCACTATACAGTACTGTGCCCTAAAAGGGTTTTAGTCATATTTGCACAAATCTCCATGCTTGACTCCTTGACTTTCTGTAGCTGAGAGAGTAGGTAATGTGTGAATGGATTAAATATGCTTCAAATCTCAATTGTAACTTGGATAAAAGAGTCCAAGTCAAATGTTTAATATGCATGTCCATTGTCCTATTCAATTAAACCATAAAGATTGATGAGATGCATGAGATGCATTTTCTCTCTCTTTTAGGCACTGGGTTAATCTGGATGGATGATGTTGCTTGTGCTGGTACAGAAGACTCTATTCACCAGTGTAAATTCTCAGGATGGGGAAAAACCAACTGCGGTCACGTAGAAGATGCAGGGGTGACCTGTAACATATAGCCTGTTTCAAGTCTTCAATATCCTGTAAAATGGACAGTTAAACTGTAAGTGTGGATGATTTGCAGGCTCTGAGGAAACTGTGTCTGTGTCCTTCTACACAGCATAAGACTTTTGAACCAGTTTGTGGCAGAGTAAAAGATCAGACCCTGGAGATCAGACACAGGCTCAACATCCTACCTGCAAAGAACTGCTACCCAAATACTTCAGCCATATCCATCAAATGGGGGAGGAATATCCCACATGCAGTAGAAGAGTGTGTGTGTGTGCGCGCGTGCGTGCGTGCTCTATGCTGCTGCTTTTTTGTAAGAAGTATTTTAAAATACTTTACTTTAAACAAAAACCCAGTTGCAGTTTATGTTGTGTATAGATAGATGCATTTAACTTTCCTAAGAGATTTATGGACACACACTAGTATATTTTTTATAACTTTTAACTCATAAGGATTTAAAATGATTATGTAGTTGCAAATGTGCCTAAAACATTGACCATAACTGACAAGTCATGGCATGGTCGGCAATTGTATACCTCAGTTAATGGTGAGTACCAATTACAGTCAGTATTAATTGTTCAGTCGCTTCATTATAACACTAAAATATCAGTATTGGTTCATGTTTAACCAATAAATTATTGTTTACTTAATTTAGTGTTAAATTCCAACATGAATAATGCAAATGATGCAATAAAATATATATTCTAAATATCAGTTATCAAAGAGTGATTAATTGCAACATGCAATATATACTATGATCTTTGAATGTTTAACACAAATCATTTTAAATATATTATATTAAACATAGATGACTATGGGCTGGCTTGATTTGCCCACTTTGGATTTTCTAGTGAGCAAAGTCAAATTAGTGAATGGAAGGAGATGTGGACAAGCTAAATTTTCTCAAAACTTTTTTTTTTTGTCCAACAGTTTATTTTCATGTTAAAAGTGCTGTAAGCAATTTCAGATGACGGCCATGTATACTTTCTTCAATACGCCGCCCTCCAAAAATACAGTTTGTCAGCTTACCTGATGTCAGAAATCTGAAATATGCAAAAGAATTCACAGGCAGAGAGTGTCTGATTGTCATGTTTTCTGACTAGTGCAGGCCACTTTCTGATGTATTGTTGTTTAGTCTAGTGCTGTACGGAGAGAGGTGCTGGAGGTATGTTTGTGTCTCCAGCGGTCTCTGTACAGTAGTGTCGGGTAGCATGCATGTACATGTCTATCAGTGGCACACACAAGGGTCAGCTGCGCATTGTAAAGTTCAAGCAAAAATGCCAAGACCTGGTTTGGTGGCCAAGCATTGACTGTGACATTAAGGGGCTGGGATCCAGGACTCTGAACTGTGCCTTCTCAGTGGGAAGACTGGACTACCAGCCCTAACACCCATGGGAACACCTTCAGCTACATATTTGTAGGGAAATTCATGGCCATGGAGTTTCTCATTATCAGCACTTTCGGGTGGTCATCTACAGATCTCCATTCAGAATGGCCCATGATAGTAGCAGCTGGGACAATCCCATCACAGATGATCACACAGACACCATAGTAATCTGAGTAACTGTGCCCCCTGCCTGAACTGTCATGGCCAGGAGTACCGTCTCTGTTTTCTTCGAGTTTCCCGTCACAGCCAGAAGGGCCATCTCTGAACCCCTGGTGTTCCATGTCAAGGGGAAGGAGTCACAGCCTGTCTCGACTCCACCGTGGTGGTCTTCATCTCTGCTTAGTCGCCAGCTCCACTCTTGTCTCTAGCTCTATCGGTTCCACAAGTTCCCGTGCTGATTGATTGCTCCACCATTGCAATGATCAGCCTTCTTCACCATGGTCCCCTTTTCTACAGTGGTCATCTCCAGCTTCATCTGACGTCTGCCAGCACCTGAAATCTGCTCCCAACCACTTAAGCTCAGGGCGTTTTTTGGTATTTTCGCCTAAATTCGACATACTCAAATTCAAATGTTTACCCTACGAACATACAATGGAGGAAATGAAAAAAAATGGTTTCATTGTAAAGAAAACCCTTTGAACTACAAAATATGAGTGTAATTCTTTATAAATAACATTATATATTTTTCAAATATTACAATAAACACAAAAAAAACATAGGCGCTTTTGGAGTTTTAAAACAAATTGTTTTTTTTTAATTCTGTAATTCAGGTTCTATTAGGTACAACTCTCTGCAATTTATTTTGTTTGATGCCACTAGATGCCAAAAAGTACCAGAAAAAAAGAATCTTTCAAATTGTCATGTTACCTACTTCTGTGCTCTTGTTTTTAGTGGTGGACTTTTAGTTTGTAGGTTTGCTCTGCTCCGTGTTTGCCCTTGTTCTTTTATTCAGTAGTTAACTGATGCCATTTTACTTAGGCAAGTTACTCTAGTATACATTTTTTCCGCCACTGAATTAAAAAAAAATAATTTAAAAATTGACTTTTCTTAGAATCACATGATACAAACTCGCAATTGCAAGTTATAAGGTCAGAATTGCGAGATATAAAGTCGAAATGGCGGAATATAAACTCACAATTGTGAGAAATAAAGTATGAATTGCAGGTTTGCATCACGCAATTCTGAGAAAAAAGTCAGAATTGCAAGAGGTAAACTCGCAACCGCAAAAAAAAACTGAGATAAGTAGTCACAATTTCCTTTTTTTATATTTTATTCAGTGGTGGAAAAGGACTTCCATAGTTTTTCCTGTGGCGTAGATGGAATAAATTCTTGCTATCCTAACAACCTTATTTCTAGAAAAACTGTAATAGTAAATTCCATCAATGGTGGGAAAAGAGTTAACATGCATTCTAGCTGCTTCATTTTGAAACAGCTGAAGCTTATTTATTAAGTGTGCAGGATATCCACCCAATAAGGCATTACAGTAATCTAATCATGATTTCATAAATGCATGAATACGATTTTCTGAATTAGAGACAGACAGCAAATGTATTTGTTTAGCAACATTTCAAAGGTAAAAAACGACTGTTATGCAAACACTGAAAATAGGGTCAGATCAAGGGACAGATTGCTATGAAATATAAAACAGATTCTTGACTGTATATGATGATGTAACAGTAAATTCATCAATGGACAGATTGTATTCAGTTATCTTTAGCTCTGAGTTTTTGGTACAATAACAAATATCTATGTTTTATCAGAATTTTTGAAGAAGGAAATTACTAGCCATCCAGTCTCTAATATCACAAACACACCATGCCAACTTGTCAAATTGACAAGTCCTTTCGCCAGGTCTGGAGGAATATAAAGCTGAGTATCATCTGCTTAAATTGAAAACTACTGCCATTGTTCCTGATAATATACCATAAGGGGAGCATATAGAAAGAGAAGATTAAGGGACCTAATACTGAGCCCTGTGGTACTTCATACCTAAATTGTGATTAGTTGGATACCTCATCATTGACACAAACAAACTGGTAATGCAATTGCAACAAAATTCTCAAGCTTATGTTCTATCGTGTCAAAGGCGGCACTAAGCTATAATAGCAATAGAAAAGAAATCCAGTCCTGGACACATGTTACAAGCAAATCATTTGTAACTCTGATAAGTGCAGTCTCTATGCTACGATAAGGCCTAAATTCTGACAGAAATACAGATTGTTGGGAGGACACTACTTTTTATAATTTTAGACATAAACAGAAGATTTGAGACTTAAACTTTGACTTATGCTTTATAGTGAATAGTTACAGTTTTTTACGATTGCTTAAGCACAATTTTGAAAACTTCCTCGGCCTCTGCCTCTTCCTCTACCTCCTTCTCCTCCTCTGTGTACTCCTCCTCTCACCCTCACTCTTCTTCTGACTCCTTCCATTTTGGTTGAAGGCAGGTGAACCTACCTGCTACCTACCCAGATTAGGGACTTCAGAGTAGAAGCAGCGTAAAGAATAAAATCATAGCAGTTATAAAAGTTATAGCAGTATTTGATCTTTGATCTCATCTTCAGTGAGCCTCGTCGCCTCAGTGTTGCCAATTGGGCTACTAACACTGTTGCCGGGTTGTTGTTCATGTCCGCGGGTTGAAGCGCCCCCAATAACGTGATATTTAGCCCCTGGAATGCGAATTTTACTGGATGAACCCCGTTGAAAAACATGTATTTTACCCCCTGGAATGCAATTTTAACCGGGGAATCCCCCTCAAAACGCAATTGGGCTAGTTTTGAGTAGCAACTGGGTGGGTTTTGTTTGCGAAAACCTGGCAACCCTGCATCACCTACACACAGTCACACACAAGTCCGGTGAGCGAGAACAAAATCAATAGTTGTGGAACTCGGCTGTCAAGGCTATTGTATTCACTTAAACATTGGATGAAGTGATTATTTTCTCTTTAATACAGATGATGCCAATGTATTTTTCGATGGGTCCGCTATGTTAGCAATATACACATAAAGTCTACAATGGACAACAGCTTGAAGTTGTCTAATTTGGCACGGTCTCCCTGCTACACTAATAGTAGTAAGGCTTTCCTTTGTGTGTACTTATCCTTACAAGTACAATTTTAGCTGGATTATTTGTGTCCCCTTGTGTCCAAAGTGTTCAAAGTGCTGAAAACCCCACAGGTGTAAATGCAGCGAAAACTTAACTCAAACATGTATAATTACACCTTTTACAAACCAGTTGCAAATGTTGTTATGAAAGACTATTACAAATAATGAAATACCATTAAATGTGAAGGTTCGGTAAACCTGGCTTTCTTTTATTAATGTGCAGTGCTGGTTGTGTGTGTTATTAGGCAAGGCTTGGCAAACTAGGTCAATCAGAAGCTATTAAATATCATTCTCCTTTTTCTATTATGCATGCAATAAGTAACAAAATTCATTAAATGAATTAAAACTACATTATTAAACCGACTTGAGATCAGTTAAAACCATTATGGGTTCACCAGATCAAATCAATCTAGCAGCGAATCATTGGAATTGTGAAACGTTTTGAAACCAAACTTGGAAACAGTATAACACGTTGATGCTGTTTGCTGAAATCACATGACTTGTCAGGTTGCTAAATGTTTCAGAGATTAATGAAGCCCACTGGCGCTAGTTCCTTTCAGATTGAATGTAGACAGAAATAAAGAATGAATTATTGTTGAGGAATGAATCTGAATGATGCTCAGGGAAGATGATCAGCAGAACGCAAGTGAACTAAAAACTAAAAAGTTAGTTTTAGGCCCTGGCTGCAGTACTCAGACTTTGCCACAAGGAGAAGTGCGTATGCCTGCTCAGATCCTGACGTGATGGTAACTACTTTTCCACGTCAAAGACCGTTTTTATAAATATGAACATTGCCGTGGATTTTAGCGTACACACACTCTAAGATCAAATCTGTGCATATGCACATTTTATAAATGAGGCCCCTGGTCCGGTCGGACAACATGACAGTGGTGGCTTACATCAATCACCAGGGTGGTCTCAGGTCACGTCCCCTTTACAGGATGGCTCGACACCTTTGTTTTTGAGCACAAAAAGGGTGGTTCATGTGCCAGGCAGTCTGATCCTTGACGCGGATATGCTGTCCAGAGGCAATGTAGCTCCAGGGGAATGGACCCTACATCCTCAAACGGTTCTGAAAATCTGGTCTGTTTTCAGGAAAGCAGAAGTTGACCTCTTCGCCTCAGAAGACAACTCTCACTGCCAAACTTATTTCTCAATAAAATGAGATGCTCTGGCCCACGATTGGCCCAGTGCTCGCCTATACACCTTCCCCCCGATCGTCCCGATTCCTCAGGTCATCAGACGGGTCAGGGAGGGCAAGTGCTCAGTCCTCCTGGAGGCCCCCGCTCTGGAGGAACCAGGCCTGGTTACCAGAGTTAGTGCAGCTCTCAGCAGCAGCTCCATGGCCGATCCCGCTGAGGAAGGACCTTCTCTCGCAGGCGAAATGCAAGATTTGGCATCCTGGGCCAGAGTTGTGGAGCCTTCATGTATGGAGCCTCAACGGGAGCTTAGCCAGCTCCCAGCAAGAGTGATTAATACCATTTTAGAGGCTAGTTTAGATTTACTGTATTAAAAATACAGGCCCCACTGCAGCAATCAAATCTTTCATTTTTTTCAGTACTTTGCATGTTCGTCTTTATGTTTGCTGAGAGACTCAATGTTCTGTGGCATCGAGCTGTTACACAAAACATGCACACAAGATGCAAAGCATTATTCGCACAGTAACTCTGCACACAAACCTTGAATTATTAGCCAAACTACAAACAGATATGACACCTGTATAACACGACTACCGTCTTTCGCTTGTTCAGTGTGCAGTGGGCTGCACGCAGCACTCACATGTACACGTATGTTGCACTGAAATGCACTGTATATACCATTTGTCTGCACGACTGATGAACTTTACAGCCACTGAACTGAGCTCTGGAATGACACTGTTGGCTTATGACAGCAGATTTACAGCAGCATTTGAAAGTGTAACAACTTTCAAACAATCTGTATTGTATAAAGCGTCATCATTTATTTCTTCCTCAAAACAGTGAGTTTTGATTTGTGAACATGATTTCGAAATGTTTTCCCCCCATGAACACTGTGTAGGTAATCAATACACAAGTGTGCCATTTAAAATTAAGTTTTTCCCAAATGAAACCAGGGCAGATGGTTTTGAATGTGTCTAGAAAAGTTTCTTTTTCAATTGCAAACTGAGTGTAAAGCAGATAATGTGCTTGTAGTTTAGCAGACTTGGTCTGAATATTCTGTATATGAGTGAATGATTTCACTGAGCGAGGCTCAACTACAACTTTTAGTTTGTAAGCAATTAAAAAAACAACAAAAAGAAAACAACTGAAATACCACACAGCTTTTCCTTTGGATTCATGTCAGGTTCATGACTGGTGTTCATCTTCATTCACTGTGAACCACACACGTACTGGATCTCAGGTTCACTTTTTTGTGTCAGTGATCACAGTAATATTCACTGTTGATGCCTGAGTTCCTGCTTTAGGGCCTGTGTTTGTTTTTTCATTGCTCGTGAGAGCAAACACTTCTCAACCTAATGCAGTTATTGGGATCATCTGAAATTGAAGTGATAAGGATCCGTGGTGTGGTGTATTTCCATGGGATGTGCCATATTTTCCAGTTTAACTTCAACCTGGAGCCAGAAGAACAACCCTCGTTAAAATCTAAAGATAGAAAAACTCCAGCAAAGGAGACAGTGTTTAGTTCTTGTTTCATTTTTATTATTTTATTTATTTTTTTACAAATAACTTATCTATTACAAAGACAGTTTTCCCAGCTCAAAAACAATGATTTACTCCCCCTTTTCTTTTAAAACCCATAAACACATGACAGACAGATCTGATTATTTCTTTGGTTTTCTCAAAAGTTAGCACAGAGACTAATGTCTTTGGAGCCAAAAATAGCCTCATCTCGGAAACAGAGAGCAGAGCGAATAAACGTTCTCCACAGCCAAGTTATTTTTAGCCTGGATACCAGAAACCAGCATTTGGAAATTGTATTTATTGGTTTTATAAATAATAATCTCATTCAGCTTTTCAATGCACAATTTATGCATTAGCACTCTCATAAGGATGGATGACAAAACATTTGTTTTAGTTCAACTAATAAAGTCACATAATAAAGTTTAAATTCTGTAACATCTGTAAGTTAAGGCACTGTGCATATTGCCACATATTGTAACAGAGACCCACATAAAGACCGAAGGCACATCGTGAAATATTTCGCTGCACTCAGAGACACGACTCCTGTGCTTTGGCAATTTACAAATCCTGAAGCATCGAAGGCAGCGGCGAGCACTCGGTGTGTTAAAGCCCTTGTGAACACTCGTCCGCTGTTCGGAGGACACACGCACACAAGTCTTTCCTCTCAGACCCACATTACTGCAAACAATGGGAAAGAGCTCCATCAATGCATAGCAGAGAAACATGGCACAAAGGTATCAGTTCCTCTCATAGTAAACCTAGATTCCAGTTGTCACACAGGAAAGCGTTTGTTATCTTGGGCTTTATGGACTTCCTGTGAACTGCTCCGAGGTCAGGTACCTTATTAATAAAATCTAGATCTTTTTCAGTTCAGTTTTGCTGCGTCTGCAGCTCGTACGCTGAATAGAGTGCTTGACAGGGCATCGTTTGCTGCACGCTGTTTCAGCATCCCTTTAGCTTCTCACAAAAGCTCCATACTCATCTGAGAGAAACAAACGAAACAACAACACAGAAATAAATGATGTCTATAAAGCTATACTTACAGGTAATACATCTGAATTCTTGAGAAAGAAAAACTCGTTCTAAAACTATGTACAGTAAAATCTGTGGCGGAGACTCCTCTGTAAACTGTACATCTAAAACATGCAGGTTTTTTTCTTTTCTTTTCTTTTTTGCATTTCATCAAACAAAAGAACTGTGAGTTGAGCAGATTCCGCCCATGATCCTTTGGGAACAGCACTGATAAAGCAGTCACGATCAGTTCCCATGAAAAAGGCACACTGGCATCCAAAGCCACATCTGTAAACCGCGTGTGGATGAAATAAACGTGTCAACATCACCGGCAACACGAGCCTCTTCACGGATCAAGCAGGAAATTTCCCTTGATCTCCCACACGACACACACACGACACACACACACTGTACAGAGACAAAGAGCTGTAAACATCATCCAGTCTTCAGTGGACATCACAAGACGAACACACACACACAGTGGGCCGAGAGGGCAGGCGTGGCTCAGAAATGCCGTGGGAATTCACACTCTTCACAGCGGTTGAGGGCAGGGTGGTTGAGGAAGGTGCATGCAGTGCAGCTCCACTGAACACCGTCGTCCTCCTCGGGCTCCGACACGAGCCTGGCGCTCCGGCTGCCCTCTGAAACACACACACACACACGAGAGAGAGAGAGAGCGAGAGAGAGAGAGAGAGAGAGAGAGAGAGGCGGTCAGAGCGCAGCCGGGGGACACAGAGAGACGGAGGAGTGCAGAGACCCACCGGCGGGAGGCACAGGAGGGAGAGACGGGTCTCTCTTCAGCTTGGAGCTGACGCTGATCCTGCGCCCTCTCCTGTCCAGATCCACTCCTGACCAGCGCAAGAACAAGAAGAACAAGAAGAAGGACAGAGCAAGAAACTCACCATCACGACCTAACGCAGAGGTACTAGTCAAATAACCAGGACCCTATGAATTCAGTCTTTTTTTTTTTTTTATTCCATTTTTTGCATTTTAAATGTTTTGGACTCCTTTTTAATGGTTAAATTTAATTATATTAATCAAAAAGTATGTCTAAGCAATTAAAATCATGAAACATACAATTTCATATCAATATATTAAAAGTTTTACAAAAACTACGTTTAGAGACCTATGAAATGTTTGTTTTTTTTCTCACCATATGTTTTATTGTTATCAAATTCTGTTTTAGTATGTCTAATTATTTGAATGCATAAAAACAACTTAATTTATTCAAAAGTATTCTTAAAATAGCCTTATGAAATGTTTTAGCCTTATGATATTCTGTATTATGTATTTAATTTTTTTCTGATTATCAGATGAAGGCACAAAACAATTTATCTTTGAACTAAACAAACTTTATTTTTTGGCAACTAAAGAGATTTACTATTAAAATTAAAACATGGAAAGAATTTTGTGATTATTCCTTAAATATACAGTTTCGATAATTTTAGTAGTAGTAGTAGTAGTAGTAGTAGTAATAATAATAGTAGTAGTAGTAATAGTAGTAGTAATAATAACAGTAGTAGTAGTAATAGTAGTAGTAGTAGTAATAATAATAGTAGTAGTAATAGTAATAGTAGTAGTAGTGATAGTAGTAGTAGTAGTAGTAGTAGTAATAACAGTAGTAGTCGTAATAGTAGTAGTAGTGGTAGTA